CAACACAAGTTAGAAAAACAACTGCGGTGCCAGTCTTGCCAGATGAGGTCAATGTGGGCATGTGTGAAGTGCGATGTAACGCTGTGCTTGAAACATGAATGCTTCAATAAGTTTGATGCGTCGACGTAGCACCATGGAGCAAATCTTTGTTTTGCTATCGAAAGGGCCCAGTGTACTATAAAAAGTACACCACTGTAACTTTTGATGGAATAAAGCTATTTTTATAAAGCTTCAGGAATTTTCTTATCTTGATGCCTTGACATCGTGCACCTAAAATAAAGAAGAATGACCGCGTAGATTTTTCTTGGTCCCTAATGGGTTAAATAATGTATCCCATGAATGAAGACACCAAAAGAATAATAGCAATAACAATCGTGTAATGACTGTATATGACTAATTGCTACCATAGCCCCCACGTTAACCGCATTTAGGTTGTATGTTTTGTGCAGATATAGTGTTCATTATCAAAGTTTATCTCTCAGCCCTGAATATTTTGTTGGACAACTTTTATTTACCGAAGGTGTGCACTGTTTATAGTTAAATTGTACAAGCTTTCAAATATAAGATTTTCAAACTCCCTTCATCGGTCCATTTCCTCGCGTTGGTAAGGATTCTTTTACCATAAATAAAAATGGTCTATGGTAGAAATGTGGCATGCATTTTGAAGTGGAAGCACAGTAGACTTTATCAAAAAGAGATGCCAGTTATCATAACAAGGCTTGCTGCTGATTCTAGGTACTATATGCATATGGGTCCACCAACGCATGTTACACTTGAAGTATTGGAATAGATTAGGTGTAAATGTCGGACACACAGGTGTTTAAGGAGATGTTTACAGTCAAGCTTAGCAAGACTGTGGTTTCATACCACCCTTTGAGATTCGACTATATGCATTCTTCCTGAAAGCACATGAAGTGCAGCACAGTAAATCTGAAATTACAAAGTGCATGTAATATCTCACTGTATCACAATTAAAACTGTGCGATAATGAGAAAAAAAAAACTCCCTCTTGCATTTTCAACAACAAAAACAAGTTCTATCTACAGCCGATAACATAGTTAAATCAATGATTCAATTAAACGGTGCAAAAGAAAAAGAAGTCAAATGATTTGTGCTTATTTGTAAATATCAAATGTACTACTGCTACCTGGAGAAGAGAGAACATAGATTAAAAACTCGAAAAAAGCTTAAACAAAAAAAAAGAAAAACAGGTAGAAGTTTCCACGCCAGCCAACCACGCAGTCATATAATTTTGCTGCGTCTGCTTTGGGCCTACATAATCATTTCCTCTCTTGTTTAAAATAAATTCCAAGAAATATGCTGGGTATGCCATCCCATTATTCTCGCTACTGTCACTGCCCGTGGTTTGCAATTCAAACACAGATCCCATTCCCCTATCACACTTTTGTACATTTCACTCTTGTTAGTGCGATTATTGAAACAAAAAATATTCTTTTTACACATACTCTCAATAAAGAGTGGATGATTGTGGTAAACTGAATACTCCTAAGTGGCTCTTCAAGGTGATAAAACTTCTATGACAGCCGTTAATACGAAGTCGTTACTTTTTGGCATTCCCTAAGCTTGTTACAACAGCACTGTCGTGTATTTCCCTCTTACAGAAGACTGTTTAGGGCAAGACTAAAAAATATCCTACATGATTCTGCAATGAGAATTCTTTTCTAAGATCCAAATTTATTACAGACTTCAGATTGCACATACGTACTTGTCATTACATAATATGTGGTACAGAAGAACTTGACACATCACATAGTAATTGGAATGGGAAGGAATCACAGTAATTGGAATCACAGAACCATCACCAGTGTTAGGATTGTAATCTGCCAGTTGAACCATAAATTTTCCCACTCGTCATAACAAGATACAAAGGCAAGGGAGCACGTAAGAGATTTCCATTCATTGATAATCTATGTGCTTGCATGTTTCGAACATTTTATTGAAACTCATGTGCTGTGGTCGAGATTTTACAATTTATTGATTTATTATTGACAGGTAAGGACAAAAACACTTTCTGTTCTTACATTGCCAAACTACATTCTTTCACCCTCTGACAAAGCAACACCTTGTGTAAACACTGCACACATGCCTCTATTTCCGCTCTTGAACCTGCCACGAGAACATATTGACATTCTTTCAGTGCTTTTCAACTGTGCAAATCATAAGTAACATGTACAATTTTGCAAGTCAAGTGTTTCTGTAATGTGATATAAGAAAAACCACAAGTCCTCACGCAATGTATGTCTTCACTTTGTCTGAAAACTAAATGTGTGCGAATATTCAACCTTTCGAATATTTTTCTATTAGTGTTTGCTATTCCATTCGATTTGCACTGAAATTTCTACTATTCGAAGTACTTGAACTTCCTAAAGACAGCTCAGGCCGACCTCTGTACCATTCTGTAAATAAATTCTCTCTCCTAAAGACAAATACAGTCAACATCCAATAGGTAGAGACCACTTCAAAATCCTTATATATATATATATATATATATATATATATATATATATATATATATATATATATATATATATATATATATATATATAACACACACACACACTTCACCCCCCTTTACTGTTGCATTGCAGCGAAGCTGCCTTGTTTCAACATGGAGATGCACTGCTATGTTAAAATAACCCCTTCGTATTTTTGAATGCTTCACTGCATCAGACTTCAGTATTGAGTCAAAGCTGCCTTTAGGGCTACGCTGTGGCCATAAATTAGGCTTGTGCGAATATTCGTATGCTTCAAATATTCGAACGAATAATCCAGTATTCGTATTTACTTCGAATCGAATTCAATTTATAAAATCTTCGAATTATTCAAGACAAACAAATAAATACATGATGATAGTTATAGCACGGGAACAGAATGACGACAAAATGACAAGAAGGATGTTCTGTTCTCGCTTTAACTATCATGTCATACCAACTAGCCCAAACTGCCAGACGTCGAATAAATACATTTTAGCCTTTATGTACACCCTGTAAAGGTGGTTTCACTGCAGTGAAGACTTGCTAAGCTATGAAAGCATATGTCCAGGTGTATGTTAATTCGCAAATAACTTTTTGTAAAATTGGTTTCGCTGTAGTGAGCTAGTGCTGAGCCGTGCAATCACCAATCCAAGGAAAATTCGCGATGCTCCTTTTCAAGGCTAAATGAACTTGTTACCCTCAATTAGACTGATCATTTTTTAAGTTAAGCTTGCTATACCACCTCATATGCTCTAAGTATAGAAAATGTTAAAATGTAAGATATTTTACAGGCTATAACTCGCGTTCTACCGAAAGTGAAATCCTGCTACTATTCAAAGTCGCTTTCTGTTCCTTTGATGCAAAAAATTGACATTTGTACAGGCCTTGTTCTAACTTTAAAAAAATATTGTGCATGTTAGCTTGGTCATGACAAATATGCCCCTTTTTTATAATATGTCACATATATATTATTCAATTCGAAATTATTTGACCAAAATCACTATTAACACAAGCCTACCGTAAACATATAGACTCACGAAAGTGCTCGTTCGAATCTATGCAGCAGTGGTGGGAGCTTCAACATGCTGTTTTGGGCCAGAAAGTAAAAAAAAATTTGATGAATATTTTCAGCATCCAAAACTTCAAATGTCTTATACATTGAAAAGTACAGGGCAAATTAGTGAATTCTTTGTATCCCAAATTATTGGGGCTTCCACTGAAGCTGAAGGAGAGAGGTGGAGGAATCAGCACCTTTTCATATCACATTGGTTGCACCAATTCATGTAAATAAATACAATTCCGTCTCTGCATTGTTGCATCTTTGATAAATCTAGAGAACATTACACCTGCAGCACTTCACCAATTTAGCCAAAAGAAGCACTTCCACGTTTCTACCGTGAGAATGGTCTTAGGGGCCCTCCCCAAGCTTTTTTTTTCTGTACTTTGACGTCAGAGTATTTGAAAAAAATATTAAGCAAATATTTGACAGCTATTTGAAAAATATTCTATTCAATTAACTCTCAAACTTTAATATTCAAATTTGCTTTGCACCCAAAATTTTGCTATTTGCACCACTCTACTGAAAACACAAAAACAGACTGCCTGTTTTAATGACAAAAGCACAGGTTTCATTGCTATGTAGTAGACTGATCACATATGTAGTCGGAGGTTTCTTGGGCTTGCCTGTTTGATACTGTTATCACTTGCGTGTAGCCACATGCACCTTATTCTGTCCATCCTGCCATCATAATCACAATGAGTGCGAGACTATGCTTGGAGGGCTGCGTGTAGCAGTCATGATGAAGGGTGATACCATACATTCCGCCAGCGAAAAAATGGGAACCACCCATCCAATGTAATGTCTTCAATTCATCTCATAGCAAACTTGCCAGACCAAACAAGGTTTATGTGCAATGAAATAAATGCTAAGGGATGCACAGGTTTATATTATTTTACATGTGGATACCATGTGTGCGATTCATCAAAGGGAACAGAGTGCAGTTTGGCCAAGAGCTCACAGATCATGCACTACTTTGTGCCGACCTATACGTGATCTCTGGCTTGACTGCTGTGAGAAATGAATAACAATCCAGAGTCATTCAGAACCCTAGCTCTACAAAAAGCAAGTTCAGTATGACAAGCAGCCTGTCATAGCCCCTTCTGCTTTTTATTTTATAGTATTCCATCAATCTTCTTGATTGTAGGTAAGCAGCACTAATACAACAACTAGCAGTAGGCATGTTCTGTAGAAACACGATTTTGCCTGTCCACTTTTGCCAGAATGTTAGCCCCCTTGCAAGGTAAGGCAATACTGGTTTTTGATTTCTGTGCCAAGTCAAAATTTATTACTGTACCAAACAGAGCGCAGGATGCTGTTCTCATACTGGAAAAACACTACTATAACCAGCGGGTTATATAATAACTCAAGCTGCATGCTGATTTCTCAGCATGTTTCACGACACCTGCAAATGTTCTGCAGTGCTACAGGCAAGTAACATACGAACAGCAGTGCAACAAATAAGATTTACTCATGGTTCCGAGGTTAACAGCACATGAAAATGGGCACGTGTCACACATATGTACAACATGCACATTTACAGTTTTTGATAACAGCTTAACTCACGAGAGTTGTCAGTTTCATAGTAGTGTTTGTAAACAGGAAGAAGGGACATTTGTAACACATATATAGTTGAATCGTGAACATTATTGGAATGTATTTACCGTCGTGTACTAGACATAACAGGCACACAATTATAAAGATCACAGGAACAATATGGTAACTGCATTACTACCAGCTTCAAACTGCTTGGTGAGCCAGTTTGTCCATCTTTATTTTTGGCTAAACTGCGAACTTAGATCAATGATTCAGAACCTCGCATAATTACACCATCTATTCATTCAATCGAGCAATAGGAGTTGCTACAGAGAATAGGTGCTACTCCGAGACTTAGAAAGGCTAGTTACAGCTTGCTGTACATGCGGCTTGTTCTTTTCAGTAGCTCCTGAGAACTCTAGTGAAGTACATGCATCACATGCGTCTGGTTGAGATTAAGCTCTCTAAATATGTTCGATTAGCTCTTTCAGAGCACTGTGTTCAAACTGAGAGTGCGAACAAGATCTGATCAGGTGACACCAGCTGTTTTTATTCTGGCATTATGTCAGTTGCTCCAGCAAGTCTTGTTTCTTCGCAAGAGGAAATGCAGTAATGTACTTCCTGTCCCGGCCTTCAAATACTCTAGCAAGCGGCTGCACTGCGTATTCTCCCGTTTTTATCGAGAGCAGGCTCCACAGTGTTGCACTCCGAGTGAGAGCACAGTGGTATCCAGCCAAATGCACAATAAATTTGCAGAATAGCTATAACACTGACTGTTGCCAGCTAATTAGCAGTGTATCATAGTAAACATCTTCATTTCTCTCCTCTCCATCTAGACGCTCCTTAGTGAACTTCAGGATTTTGAAAAACTTAAAAACAATGCAGACTAAGTCATCAGCATTGCCATTCAGCATTGCAACAGGCTACATAGCTATGGTGTCAAGATAATAAAATCAACAACGATCTCGGCATGTACAGCCTTTGTCAAAAGCACCACACGGGCTACTCGACACCTACATGTAAATGACCGGTGTGTGCCCAACATTTCAGAACTTTTGACAGCAAGCATGACAATACATTCCAGTCTTTGGGATGTTGGGACTTTTGGCATGCCTTGAAAACTTTCTACAGTTTGCAGAGGGCAATGCTAGTCGCAAGCAACATAGCTTGCATACTTTCGACAAAGACTGTACACTACTTCAATGCCAGTTAAGTACTGTAGTTTAGAGTTCATTCAATGACTAGCACATAAATAAGCATAAAACAGCATGCAATAAAGAGCATAAAAAGTAACTGCACAACATATGTTCGTGAATAAAGTATTTCAACAGGGCTCCAACAAAGATTCTAACTGTAGAGATTACCAGTATTTTGATTGCTGCGTGTGTTTTGGTTAGCGAAATGAAAGACGCATGAAAGCATAAACATCCCAATGATGTGCCAAGATCTTAGTCTTCCTCAAAAGTGCGAAGTTCTGCAGCTGGGTGTGCATTCCTCATGTAGACACGTGGCACGATCGAATCGCATAATACTTTAGATAGCCATGTTTAAATTTCATTCCTCCAAGTTGTTATTTTTGCAGTGGCTAAGTACAGCGTATCGCCTGCATTAGCAATTAATGTTTAACTAAATCACCTGCCTCTTCAGTCTCTCTTAAGATACAGCTTCTGTCAGTAGTAAAATTAGTAACAGTCCACTATGACATGGTTGTGCAAGAAATTGGGGTAACTGGTTAGAATAGACGCCTAAGTGGCTCCATTTCAAGAATCCTTGGATAATGATGCTATTCATGACTGTTTCCCTGAGCTGCCTCTCAGAGCAATCAAGGCTAAACATGAAATTCATCAAGGTGGAAATACATACTTTTTTCTATTTTTGCGCACAGATCTTATTCAGAGCCAGCTTACTGCACTGAAGCATTGTATAAAATTCAATGGCAACTGCACACACACATTGACAGGCTGATAAAAACAGAGCTTCAAAAATGCAAGGAAATATTCACTGCAAAGGAGAACAAGGTGGTTCATAGGAGAATCAGAGGTTTAGAAGTGATCGGTGCAAAAGAACCTACGTCAAAGTACTATATTCCTGCTTTGGTATATGTCTTACAACAAACATGGACTGGATTTTTTCAGGTGAAAAAGAAATGAGCCTGGCAAGGCCTGAACACAAAGCATGCATGGCATGCCACTGGTGGCAGAACACAAGCTCTCTAAGCTGCTGTGTGGCAGAATTTTTGAGCCGCAAGAGGAATGGGTTCGTGTGCCATTTTACGCGGCAAACCATGTGGCGCTTTTTGAAGAGACCAATCAGGATGGTTTCCCTCGCCCTTTCTGCTATGTATATTCTCCGTATAAGTGAGGCGACCCGGCCAGATACAGATTGATGGGGAGACTTCCTTAAGAACTGGTTTGGCTTGCTCAGGCTTATGGGACTGACGTAATCCTTTGCCTACTGCGGTGTAAATTGGCATGACCCACCAAAAATGTGCCTTGGAGCGAGTGCCTTGGCATAAGCTGGGAAGACTGAACAACCGTGGCAGCTCTTAATGCCAATGGCGCGACACTCGCATATTCACGCTAGTGTGTTCAAGCAGCACAGATTCTGAGGTATCTCATTACAGTTACAGAGGCTAGGGTGAATGAAAGGAAAGAACATAAGGCTGTACGAAATGCTGAAACAGGAAAAATAGATCAGTTACATGTCACAGTGAAAATTTTTTGCATGCAAATCGGTTTTGATCCAATTTATTTCTCATTCATTTTTCCCGATTTCAAATTTGGATGGAACACGTTGGCTTTACTATGCTCACCGGCCCTTTTCAATTTGCAGAGTCTGCTCTTTTTTTCAACATTTCTATTTGAGAGAGGCACTTTGAAAATATATTTGTGCAACTAAATGATAGCAGTCTTTTAGAAAAAAGTACTTCAAAACCCATAACCTGATTATGAGGTAGTGCCTAAGCGGGGATGCTACATTGAATATGACTACCCAAGGTTGTTTAACATGTTAGCATGTCAATCAAAGAACATGTGTTTTTGCATTTCACCCCACCAAATGCGGTTGCCACTGTAGGGATCGAAAGCACATCTTGCTCAGCAGTTCGACAACATAGCCACTCAACTACCGCAGTGGGCTATAGAAATACTTTTCATGGTATTGAAAACAACAGACAAAAAATGTCAATAAGAACATCAAGAGGTACCAAGACAGGCATGTGCCTTATCTCTGCATTCACTCATATACAAGGACTTGTAGTGGAAAGTAACAGATGACAGTACAGTGAAAACGAGCACGAGAATGAGTGATACAAATAATGAAGAATGCTTAAATTAACAAAAAATGTTTGTTGTGTTTGAGTACACTCAGACACCTTGCAAGACATGCGAAAAACCCAGACTTGAAAAAAACAATGCAGTCACAAGCTGCAGCAGTCACCAATCTTTAAAAACGTTCTCCAGTAATTAGTGTAATAACAATATGATTAGGAACCTTGATTCCACTTCCTCTATATATATTATACTGAGCATGCTCAATTATGAGAATGTTAACTATGGAATGTAGATTGAATTTTCAGTCAAGAGCATGATTTGCTCTTCAATTGGTGGATTTCGGGAACATACTGGTCCAGGTTTCCTATCAAGTAAGATCATCAATGCCATAGAAGAAAGTTAAGACAACAAGCAAATCTCTTGCAACACAAGCACACTGATCTATCTCGAGCATTGAAAGTTGGGCAAACACCAAGCCACTAAGCTGCCAGGGTCAGTGATGACGCGACCGTGCAGATTCGTTCTCACAGTTGAGACCCTTCAAACCAGCCATTTCTAACTGCTGCCAGCTTAAGTGCTGCTGGAGTCAAAGTGGGAGTTACGAAATGATGGTCAGGGAGTCAGCAAATCGCTGGGAGAAAAATGGGAGTCAAGAAGACCGGTCACACAGAAAGGTCAGTGACTCATGCCAGGATGTGAGTAAAAGTTAGTTGAGAGTGCTCGCATCCCTGTCAATCTGGGTAGTAAGTGAGTCAGCGAGAAGAGGATCACGGCCCCAGTAGTAGACCGGTGGCCCGTAGGAAAAGCAGTCCTTTTTGTCAAGGATCCTGTCACCATCCACGTAGTACATCATGTAGAAGTTGCACATTTCATCGTTGCCTGTAGAGCTGCGAAATGGAAAAACAGGATCATCTATTGTCCTTTCCTTGTGCTTCAAGGGAACCTTGAACTTCATTGCACAAATGTTATCCCACAATAATTGTGCCAGCTGGAGAGTGTTAGGATCCCCCAGCTTAAGCTCCCAGGCCAAAAAATAATTGTACAACTAGACATGAAGCATTGAAACAAGTAACCTGGCTCTGCACTTGCTAACAATGTTGAATGATGCAAATCACAGCACTTACAATTGCAAGAAAATGTTTTCAGGTTATTACTGCTGCAGTCCATACCAAGTTCTATTTGCATTGCCACTTGTGATTTGCTTATTATTTTCATTTCAGTTAAATGCAGTGATTGAATTCTACTGTGCTCTCTCCAGCTTCATTGTCTCTTTCAGCATACACTAGGGAGTTATAAATAATTGAGCCTGTCAAATGCCATTGTTCCTTTGCATATTAAAACTAGTGTCACATATTGCAGCCTCCTTGTGCTCTTGCAACTACTACCAGTTTCCACGTGTGTAAGAAACAAAAACAGAAGTTAAGGCTGAGGCACAGATTTTCAGATACTCAAACATATGTAGCGATTAAGATAAAGTATGAACAAACTCAAATTAGCCTCCCAACACAAAAATAAACTTGAAAGCCAGAAGGTTGGCAGCAAAAAATATTGCACAAACACAGCGACACAGCTTTACACAAACAGTGTTTTTTTTTCAGGCTGGCATGATATAACTAGACGTCCCACTCTCCCACTACCTTTACATAATTCGCAGTGATAGACGCGTAAAGATACATGCATATATGTACACGAACGAAATCTTAAAGCTGTTTCAGTGGTGGAAATGCCTTCCAGCACTTTGAAGCAGCCATTGGAGCCGGCAAAATCTACTTTCGGAGCAGTTACCTCTGTGTTTGGAGCACGCATGGACTTTCCATGACACAGACAGAGGAAGAAAAAATTTAGTTTTAATATAGTTTAATGCAGCTCAGAGGCAGAGCATCGAACGTGTTATTCGATGGTTGCAGGTTCGGATCCTGTCCGTTGGCAAGTTATCTTTTCATCCACTTTTCTTTCTCCACATTTGCATTGCAATTACTTCTATTAACAACCCCTGTGCTTTACCTGGCATTTTTGTCTGTTAATTCTCATTAACATTGTTTCTAACAAAGAAAAGGAGCCCTTGAATTCACACTTTCCTTCAATTAGTTTACATATTCGCTTATAAAGCAACAGGAAGGCCACAAAATAAGCACAAAAAAATAAACACAAGTAGGGTTATGTACAGAAGTGGTGACACAAGACAGTGAAGGATATATTGCACCAGCAAGCCAGCTGCAGCATGAAGTTTATAGCAGCGTGTACACCCACGCACACACACATGCACACACACGTATGCACACACGAGGACACAGACAAATTGAAAGCTTGTCACAGTAAAACCTCGTTAATACATAGACACATGCCAAGAACCTGCCGGGAAAGGGGATAACTGCGCACTAAACGTTGTATGACTCGTCCACCAAGTACTTAAGCACGCCCAGGGTTCCCCTTCAAGGCGGGGAGGTTCGTCACAGCACCGCCTCCCCTATCATGTGAATGTATGGGGCCTGCCTTTGTGCCCCCCCCCCCCCCCCTGGCACACGCCCATGACAAAGTACCAATTTGCGTTTCTTTACGTGCGCCATCACCGCTAAAGAAAAAATCAATATCGTGCCACAGCAAATATTCCCCGATGTGCAGGCCACAAAGCCACTTCTTTCTTTTTGCTAGTGTTCAGGAATGATTGGCATTTTCGTCCAATGGCATGCGGTAGAGACACCACAGAGCGTTTCGAAACTATTGCAGGGTCTGAGATACACATCCAACGCAGCGACTGACATCGAAACGAAATGGACATAATCAGCTCTCCGCGATAAATGCATACCTTAATCTGCTACATAGTTTTTTTTTTTGAGACGCGGTGTGATCACAGGTAGCTGATCGTGTACTGGCTAGTTGCGTGCAGCGCTTCGACTATTTGGCGTAAACACCGTGCCGAGTCACTTGCACCCACTCCACTTCAAACCATGCACAAATGCAGCATGAAGCCTGTTGAGTTAATGCGACAATGCGAGCTTTCTGCAAGCAATGCTCTAGTGGTCCTCGCAGTGGACAGAGGCACATTTGGGCTGTTGACTCATGAAAGTGTGTGCTACGCTTGCCATCTCCGTGCGCGCGCTCCACAAGGCTCAACTCCGTAACAACGAGCTGCTTTCGTTTCTGCAAATCGGCGCATGCTTAACATGGTCCTGCACAGGTGGCAGTGATCGGCACCTCAGTGCTCTCAGGTAGTTGCCGGCTATTAAAAGCGTGTCGTAGCTTAAAGGTGGCGCTATGCTAAACGCGTTGGCTTTGTGTCAACGATAAGTGATATTGGCATGCCTTTCAGTAGTCGCCACATCGCCTTCGTTCTTTGCCAATGGTTATCAGAAAAGGCACTGCCGCGATGGTGCAGAAGTCAGAATAATTGATAGTCGATTTCAGTGCTTTTGCAGCAGCACAACTGTATGCAAATGTAGCAGCACATGTGTACAAGATGTCGACCATCACTCAATATCTGCTCACAATGGGTGCTGTCAACATTCACTTTCGGTCACAAAACCACCTTGTGGTGCAGCAATGGTGCCAGTCAGACAAAAAAAGACCTTTTTGGAGCTGTATGGTGCTGTTATTTCCAATTGGCACAGGTTGGTGCAATTGGTGCAGCTTTCCCACCACTCCTATTTTCAGCTACTTACCCAACATAGGTGGGCCTATTCCTGAAGTTGTACATTGTGCAGCGGGCAGCCTACAGAGGAGACACTCAACATTAGAAATGATGACTCTTGTACATCGTGTGGAAGGGATATAGATTTTCATGGGTCAAATGCGCCTGCACTACTTTGCTAGAAAGAATAATACTCTACGCTGGTGCAAGGTGGTGTACACTAATGCTGATGATCACTGAACAAAGATATTTGAATTAAAGAAAGAAACACAGTTCTTGTAATTGCCTTTATGATATTACTAAAATGAAACAATTAACAATGCAAAAGAAAAGTATTACACATAAAAGGTAATAGAATAATGAAACAGAATCATATACCTCATTACAGAACATTTTTATTATTACATCATTCATTATTCTTTGTGAGTAATGAGGCATCTCAGCACAATAAATGACCACCATGCATCCGGTATTATTGTCTGACAGAAGCTCTGCTGCTATTATTCGACCCCCTCAGACTTGACACTGTTGTTTTTTGAGGATACACTATAGGGCAGCTTTGGCAATTTCCCAACCTTCACTGATCCTGAATGAAAATTTTTTAGATACCTTCCTTTGGCACTTGGATGATCTGTGCCAAGCTATACAATTGCAAACCATTTAGTTTACTTGAAAATTAACTTTAAATATCTTTAGCAAATTCCTATACTGAGCCTTTGAATGCATCAAGCAACCTTGTGTTTGTGATGTCAAGCAGTACATTCTACCTCTTTGACGGAGGGGGCACAGAATGAGAAGAACATCAAACCCTATAATTGTAAAACTAGCTGTATCATGTATTTCAATGTTTCAATAAATTTTCAGCTAAGATGGTAAGCTCTGACCGCTGATGTCGACTAAGATGGCCAGCAATCTTCCAAGTTATTTCACAAATATCATGCTGTTCTGTGAGCTTAAAGAGGCCCTTTAACACTTTTTCAGCATGGCCAGAAAACGTTGCCATCGGTAAGTCGAGACTCCTGAGAACACAAGAGCCAAATGTTATAGCGTAGTACTCAGCCTGGAATTTACAATGAATTCTCAAAGTTAGCTAAAAATCCTTCCCTCTTCTTTCTACTAATCATGCCATAAACCCAAATGACTGCACTAAAATATATACCGAAATTCTTTGCCATTGACTGATTTGAGCATTGTGGGCTCCACAGTTACTGCGGCCACCGTCGGAGGCCTCTCTGTACCTGCAGTACACTTGCGATCGCAATGAATGTAAGCCGCACATTCCAAGACAAAAAAAAAAAAAGAAATTAAAAGAAAAAGGAAAAAGTCATGACACTGGCACGGCGTAACTTCTTTCCTCAATGTGCATCATTCCTTGCTTAGCTCCCAGCCCACTTGTTGAGATGAGAGAAAACTATCACAGCGTGCAACAAATCTAACTCCGCTCGCACTCGACAGATTCTAAAAATCTTTCCAATAGTTGATTCGCGAGACAATAAGCTCCTTTAGCAAAGCCATCTCGTTGTTTACTTTAAAAAGTATTGCAGAGGCCCTTTTAAAAAGTATGAAAAGACAATGCTGCAAGTATGAAACCAAGAAAGGTAGAGTGGATCACTGTAACAGTACAAAATGATTCAATATGGCGATACCTCACATCACTATCAACACTGACATAACAAAACTTACCAAGATGTCGCCCTTGGTGACTTTGATGCCCTTGTTTGCAGGGTAGAACATCTGCGGCTGCAATGGGTCGTGCTTCCCAATGTTCATCCACCGTCCATTTCTAACAACATAACCAGAGACAGCCTTGCCTGCAAATGAAAATAAGCAATATAAACTGTTGCCAACAACATCCGTACATTACAAAACAATACAAATGTGTTCTCTTCTAGCGGTCTTCGACTGGTAGCACTCAATTCATCATTGAGTCAAACTGCAGCCAGGTATGTCCCTTCTTGTAAACTACCCTCGCCTTTAATAATGACAGCCAACCTTTTCCGTCTTGCACCATAAAAAATTTGAGAAAAAATCTCTCAAGCAAACATCAACTCGTTGAGCGTCGAACGTGCATCCACTGACCTCAAATCAACCCTCCCTCTTTCAGTAGTCATAGGCGCATGCCCAGCAATACCGCCTTTCCTACATTATGTACAAATGCCAAATAAAGCACAAACATTAAAGATTTATTTTTGCAACTGCTATAAAGAGACCTTTTTTTTCTCAGAAGCCGCTAATAAAAGAAAACTAGGAGACTTAATTGGACACAAAACAGTTTAAGGTAACAAAATACAACACTTCAAAACTCTTAATAATTCCTAGTTTCACAGAAAGAAAGTAATCATTCGAGGGCCGAATTTTAACAGTTCAAAATTTCAACAGCAGAACCCAGCGATAACATATCAATGCAAGAGATCACACATTGTTGTATACTCCTCTGCTTGGGACATTGTGATACAGTAGAATGACTGTAGCCCTGTTTAGTTCTCAGTTCCTTTAATGTACACTAGTTTGCCCTTACAAAGTAAATAACTAGGCCCGAGAAAATGCTGTCAACATCCACTATGCCATAGCAATCAGGCACGGGCATTTCAAATCGATGTAACCTTACGACAATCATTACTAGTTGTGGCAGGGGCATTTCAAATTGATGTAACCTTACGACAATCACTACTAGTTGTGTAAGACTAAGATGACAAATAATGATGCAATTTGTGCAATGAAAACACATGCTGGCATTAAAACATAATGCTAAGCAGCACAATACAAGTCACAAGCCCATGCTTGTATTCCATCAAGAACTACAAAAGAATCAGTCTACCTACCAAGCTTGTGTGTATGAGTCCTGAACGCAAATGGATACAGCGTCAAGTTCTCATCGATGAGACAGGCAGTCTCGAAGTGTTCTGGACACAAAAGAGGAGAGTGTACCAATGATTCACTATGACTTTTCAGCACACACCAAGTGCCGTCACCTGACAACAGTGATGCATTACCTGTTTTGTGCGAAGGAATCATGCCTCCTGTTCCCAAAAGGTAAATACCAGCTCGTCGTTTAACGCTAAAAGCAGGACATGTAGAAAAAACACAAACTTAAAAACAGGAAGATGAATATAAGAAGTACAATCATTTATTTAAAGGTGAACATATTCGATGGAGATATGTCTGGCTGGATGAAAATTCATACGAATAAAACTCTTTGCTACTCATAGTCCAAAGTTTCTAAATTTAAAATTTGAAAACTACAAACTGACCCGACGTTTCAAGACCGCTTCGGTCCTTTTTTCTGTGGTGACTGTTCAGCCGGCTCCGAAGCTAGCAACTTCTTTAGTAATGTCCCCTCTCTATCCTCCTTCTTCGCATCGTTCTTGCTGCTAGCTTTGAAGCCGGCCAAACAGCCAACCCTGAAGATGGGATCGAATCGGCCCTGAAACGTCGAGTCAGTTTATATGTAGTTTCTAAATTTCAACTTCAGAAACTTTGTACCTTAAGTGGCTGGAGGGTTTATTTTATTCGCATGAATAACTTAATTGAATGTTGAGAAATGCAAACTGAGCCTTAGTACACTTCGAATTCTTTTCATCATCTGCTGTTTGTTGTGTTGCAGTTGTGTGCCTCTTGCTTGTACACCTGTGCCACCAGCCGGTGTCATGGTAAGTCACGAGAATAGTATGAAATTAGATAAGCTGTTGCTCATTACTATTGCATTATCTATGTTCTGGAATACCATAAAAAAAGTGTACCAAAAACTAGTAACAAGCTGCAGGTCTTTACAACTTCGACAACAGCACACTTCTCACAACACAGACACGGGATTTCGTGAGCTCCAGTGAAAAGGGATGGTGGCTTGTGCTACCAAACTCGTAGACAGATGTATATTTATGAAATGCACACTTACAGCTGTTGTGTTTTCAGCGCATCAGAAATTATGTTTCACGATGTCATTTCATACAAAACTTGTTGCCCCATGAAGTAGCTGTTGTATTGAACAATGTGTTGTATAAGACGCAAATGAGCCCTAAGAATAATCAAGTTAGCTGAAGCTGTGTGCACAATGTAAGACAACAAAAAATAAGAGAAAGGGACAAGCATATATAGTTCTTCAATTTCAGAAAGCATTAGCACACAACAGCAGGTAAGGGATGGCACTAGGTAGTATATATCAATGTGCATTGGCAGGCAAATTGGTTTATCATGCTAAGTTTGAACAGCATGACTAAATGTAGACAGAGAACAACATGCACACACACAGCACTGACTTTCAACTGGAAACGTTTATTTTTATGTGCACGTGACACATATATATACATACGCTGACACTTGAAAACAAAGCAAGAAAGACAGAGGAGGAGGACCTGAATGCTCATACCTCTGCAGCAATGCAATGTGTTGCTACAAAACCAGGTTAACAGGGTCTAAAAAACTCCTATTCTTGTCAAACAGCGAGAAGGATGGCATGCTGACACACTTATTATTCATTTTTTCTATTTCACAGGTTTCAATTATTTCCCTTGTCAATCCATCTTTGCCCCTGTTTGAAATGCTTCTTTTACCAAACATTAGGATACAGTCGCCTCTCTCACAATGAATGGCAAGTTGCCCCGAGATTACTTTCAAGACGTATTTAAGCTTCTTCAACCTTTGATTAACACAATGGCCAGTCTGGCCAATGCACACCTGTGCAATAAATTTGTAGATTGTGTCAAAGATGCAATCGGTTCAATCCTGTAGAGTTGTACACAGGTGCACATTGGCCGGACAGGCCGCAGTGTTAAAGGTTGAAGGATTATAAATACTGCAATAGCTTTTAGGTGAAGCTGTGTTAAAATTTCAGAAGCTTAAGGGTAGAAAATCCCACTTTCTTGATGTTACGAATTTCCCGAATCAACCAATTTATTCTATTGACGTAATTACTTTGTTCCAACTCGTTTAAACTGAAATTACAAAATTATTTCTGACTCTTCCAACTTACAGTACAAAAAAACAATTACTCACAGCTGTGTGTCCCCAGGCAACACAGAGAGGACAATACCAGACATGTCCGTCTTTCTTCGATCTGGGAAAATTAAAAGGATGATATTCCAATAGATGATGTGAAAACATGTTTACAAAGCACCTCAAGCAAGTCCGCTGGTAAACAATTCATACTCGCATGTTGCAGCGGTAATTCATGCCACAAGTTTCTGCTAGATAAGCACTGAAATAGATGTCGCTAAATAGACCTGTGTTCCTAGTTATATGACTTTTTGTTTGTGAAATGACAGCATTAACATAGAATACAGTCGAATTCTAGATAAATCAAACTCGTATATATGAATGATATGGATATATGGAAGATGACCACCTACTGTAGCTCAGTGGTGGAACATCAGACGCGTTATTTGAAGGTCGCAGGTTCAAATCCTACTTGTGGCAAGTTATCTTTTCATCTACTTTTCTTTCTTCAAAGTTACATCACAATTACTTTTAATAACTACCCTATACTTTCTCTGGCATTATTGTCAGCTGGTTCTCATTAATATTGCGGAATGAATACTGAGCACCAAGAACAGACACCACAGTGCGGACACTACAGCGCTTGTGATGTCTGCTCTCTTTTTTCAGCTGTCTCCGTTTGTTTATTCCGTAACAAAAAATGTTTTTCAAAACAGTGTAATTACTTTTTCACAATGTACTCATTGTTGCAGTACCTTTCCTAGGCTCGGACACAAAGAAACCACATCGGACACAAGGAAACCACATTTGTGTCAGTACCTCTTTAATTTAAACATATTTTCGTTTCTTGTAGCACTTGATGCTTGTTGTTAGTTTTAATTACATTTCAATATCGGGGCATCCAACTTTTCTCTTTATACAATACATAACATATGTAAAGTAATATATAAGCAGACATTGAAACTGCTGGTCACTTACTTACCCAGAAATGAGGTAGTGTCGGCGTAATGCACTTGAAGCACCAAGTACTTGATACCACTATCTCCACCAATCTTGAAGCCCACACCTGAAATATAGCGACAGAAAGCATGTATACACTGTACCATTTCCTAAAATGTTGTTTGAGTATGTTCATGCGAATGTACTAGACTTGTGCAAATAGTGAATTTTAGGTTCAAAGTGAACTAAGAACACAGTGATTTTGGTCAAATAATTTCGTATTGAATTCAAACAGCATATATCACATACTATTAAGAAAAGGGGGCATATTTGTCGGGACCTAACACAACCTCCACAATATATCTTTTTTGAAAATTGAAAAAAAGGCTTGTGCAAATGCCTTTTTTTTTGTTTTGTATAAAGAAAGTGGAAACAACTTTGAACAGTATCCCGATATGACTTTTAAAAGAATGCAAGTGATAACCAGTAAAACCGATAACCTTTTAAAACTTATCCATCCTCAGAGCCTATAGGCCAGTATAACAAGCTTTTAAACTTCAAAAATTATATATCGATGTGGGGGTAATAATATCATTCAAGCTTGAAGTGGAACTTCGCCGCAATGCAAAGTCTTTTAAACAGATGTTTTCATGGCTTAGCACCCACTCACTACAGTGAAACTAACTTTACAAAAAAAAATACTTGCACACTAATACATTTCTAGGTGCTTTCACGGCTTAGCACCCCTCTATTGCAGTGAAACCATCTTTAAAAAAATTACATGCAAATTAATATACCTTCATTTTTCTTCATTTCGAGTACATCTAAATTTTCAATAATTTAAATACGAATCAAAGTGAAATGGAATACTGCTATATACATTCGAATATTGTGGTATTAGAAAACACTTCGACTGAAACATGATCTTCTAGCCAGTTTTGGGCAGTAACTAGTTATTAGTAATGCGTTACCAATAACTAGTTATTTTTTCAGTGACTTGTAACTGTAACTAGTCGCATTTAAGTTTGAGGAACTCATAACTGTAACATTTTTTTACTCAGCAACTCTAATGAGAAACACTGTTTCAGTTACTTCAGTTGTTATAAAACAATATCAAACGGCAACACTCACTAAAGGCCAATGTTAAAATGCTCTTCCCTATATCGAACTTTCTTCTTTGCTATATCCTTTCCTTCTTTCAACTTTCCACAATAGGGCTCCCATCGCAGTTTAGGAGAAGAGGTCACTGAGGGAAATATATTCCCTGCAGAAGACCATGTTCAGAGTACACTTGTAAACTACATGCATCTGTCATGTTGCTACTGTTATTATATTCCTTTTGTTACTAGAGCTTTCAGCTCTGTTCTTGAAGTGTCGGTGGAGCATTCCTTTGTCCAAGCCTTCGAGCTAATCGTGTTTGACAAGTGGATAGAAAACTGCAGTGCAAAACAACCGATAGCCTGAAGTGCCAAAACTTTTGATTGCCAAAAATCTACTCCGACTTCAATAAACGAGATTTCTCTCGCTCCCCATGAAGGGGGCATCCTCAGTATACACAATAGTGGTTACTATTGCAAGCCCCTGCATCGAGGCGAATAAACTATGTTTCCAAGAGTACTAGCCCCCCCCCCCCCCCCCCCCCATTCAATTTCCCTTATGAACTGGCGTCATTAAATCATTTAGGTCGAAGCTATACCCTTATCAGCAGGGTTCAAGGTCCGCAAGAATGTGTCGCACGACTGACTTTAGCAACCTTTTATTTACAGATCCCTTTCTGTCCGTTTTGCTGATGTAATTATCTCCCTTCGTAAACCCCGCACCGCACATGTAGATAATTCAACACTGATTGTCCGCAGATGTGCGGTCTTATGGTTTCGCGAACATGTGTGTCAAGGTATGGCGAGGCTGATACTAATAATACTTAACACAGCCTGCGTTTCACCCAGTTCTTAAACTCTGCCGATTTGTTGAACGCAAGAGCAAGCTACGCAACACAGCTTGGGGACCCAATGTCTTGGGCCTCCGATTCTCAAACTCTCTAATATCTCGGGTTTTATGTCCCAAAACCACGATATGATTATGAGAGACGCCGTGGTGAAAAGCTCCGGAAATGGCAACCACCTAGTGTTCTCTAATGTGCACTGACATTGCACAGTAGACAGCAAATCTAATACTATTTACAGCAAATGTCATTCGTTTGTGATGTCATTTGTTTGCTGTCACAAGGAGAAACTAATGCCATTTGCTAAAAATGAAATTTGCGGTTGAAAGAGTTCTGAAACTTATTCACACTAGATTTCAGGTCAAATGCATAGTGTTGATGCCAGGGACTTGTTAGGAAGATGGCTGTTCTAATTCCTCCTCGGTGGAAAAGTGGCTAAGGTGGCTGCTGGTTGCAAGTTCGACCTCAATCACAGGTGTCGGATCACGGTGGAAGCGTAGTGCTAGAGAGCTGTGCGTGTGCGATGTCAGTGCAGGGCAAAGAACACCACACGGTCGAAATTTCCGAAGCCATCCACTACGGTGTGTGGACTTACGGGGCAAATGATATCGTGGACTTAGCGGGCGAAACCCCAGGTATAGTATTTTTACTATTTCGTGTAATTCCTAAATATCATAGTTTTAACTAGATTCAATTATGACTGCTTTGACGACAGAAAAGCATGGGCAAAATTTTCTAAAGGAAACTCTCAACAATAGCGGCTGGACATCAGTCATGTTTATTTGTGCTCTGTTGTCGTTGCCTGTATTGGGTGTTTTAATCGTCCAATTGCACGTGTTTGGGTAATCGAGGAGGTGACTACAAGAATTAGCTGCCGTCATCTCGTTTCTGCGACCGGAGTGATAGTCGTGCTCTCATCCTTCAGTTAACTGTCATCATGCCTCGTCATATCGTCTGCCTTGTTCGTTTTCGATTGGCTCTTGGCTTTACCATAGACTTAATTAGTTTCTGTTGTGCAGCTAGGGCAAGTTATAGAAAATGGCTGTGTTTATATTTTTGCAGCAGATTTTTAGCAATAAAAATTATTTTTGAGGATATACAAACATTTCATGTAAGTAGGTGTAATTGTTTTTGTATCTGCTAAGGTCATGGCTATCATTGTGAAATGATATTTCTTATCATCATGGGACAGTATGTAGGTAAAATGGCATTAAGTTCACCTAATAGGGTTAGTTCTAAATGACTTAAGATTGGCGATGTGACAGGGATGCTAAAAACGGTTGGTATGCCCAGCTGGCGCTAAGCTTTCAAAACAAGTTGGGTTGATGCACCTTGAAGAATATGGGGAATAGACTCCATGGATGCCGTCTTCACTCGTTACACACTGCTCCTTGCTCTTAGCATACTTTTATTAAATAAATTTTATCATTTATTATATAACTAACAACTTATTTTGAATGGGAACGGTAAAGTAACAACATTACTTTTCACCCTAACTGTAAAAAGTTACTGAAGTAAAATCAGTAACTGCAACTGTAACAGGGTTACCTTTACGGCTTAGGTAACTCTAACTGTAACACTTACTTTTTGCCGGTAATGTGCCCATGACTGCTTCTAGCTGTTCGATCTTGCAGCTGTTCGAAGCGAATTCGAATACTGCAATGTTCGTTCCAATATTCGAAGCATTCAAATATGTGCACAAGCCTACTGTGTACAGCACTTTCACTCAACTTTCACTCTTTCAATGAAAGCCCTTGTGATCATCAGACCAAGAAATGCTCAGCAGCAGTACCTAGTAAACAACTTTATTATTTTTACTGACTTTATGAATTATGAATACCAAGGGGCTCAAATTTTATTTTTCACAATCATATAATGCCAACACACAATGAACCACAGAAAGAATCAACTGTTTGTTTTTAGCTGGAATAGCCGAAACATAAAAGTAGCAATTAGATATGAATGCATAAAGACCACTTATACAACATGATGCAGCTGCTAGCCAAATCCACATCTGTAACATGCACATGATGCTATACCACTGGTGCTCATCTTTCCATATATTTTATTGGGTATCCATGTCTATGCTCTATATCTAATCCTGTAAGTATTACGTTTGTCTTTTGGCTGAGGCAGTGGACCATGGCACAATTAGCATTTTTAGAAGCAAAGCTCCTTATGGCGTGGGTCTGTCCATCCTTTGTACGGATGTAGTCATATGTAACCACCGGTGGCACATATCCGCTCTAGAGTGGGTATGTGCCACAGGGGATGCGAGATGGCAGATGGTGGTACATGAAGTATTCACTATATAGACGCGCGGAGGAACGGACAGACAGACTAGCAGTCGTAAGGACGGATAGACGTGCGGACGGATAGACGCGTGGACGTACGGATGGATGGACGCACAAGCAGACATGGATGGACGGACTCACAGATGGATGCACGGACAGACAGATGGACGGATGGACTCACGAACGGACGCACGGACAGACAGATGGACGGATGGACGGAAGTATGGACGGGTTGATGGACGCTTCGACCCACTCATCATCATCCACTTTGTGGATATGCTGCGATTTTGTCACATAAAACATGCACAAGCTTTCCTTCCTTGCTCTGGCAAGACACAAAACCTGGTTCTCATTGGCATAGGTGTTAAAAAAAAAAGAGGGAGAAAGAAAAAAACATATTCGATCTTCTAGCTGTTTGAGCTAACTCTTTGCGGTCGGAAAACTTTACCCCCATTACGTCTCTTTCAGTGTGAAGCTCAAGTAAACAAAACTCAAATAAAAGAAGTTCATTACTCATTAGGAGATGATCCACAAAGCAATGAGAAAATGCGCACATCAATCAACCATGAAACAAGTTATCGAGAAGTGCCGTACCATGAGCCGCTGTGGTCACGTTGCATTGTTGGTAGTAGAGTGACAATGAACCATGAAGAGTTAAATCTAATTACCTTCTGGTAATGAAAGAGGCGGAGCATCTCGGGCCCATGCATATATGATCTGAGGTCCTCGAGCACAGGTCGGCCCTCGAAAGAACTCCGAGTTGGACTTGCTCATCTCTCCGCAGTCCCACACCGCACGTGGAGAATCCTGCTCACGGTAGCCTGGTTCCTGACAGCCATAGATAAGTATGTGGTGGGCCACGTGCATTGTTGCATTTGGCTTGAATGCCACTGAAATGCAGACGGACAGGTGTTCCATTGTTAGACATTTCTCAAGTTAGAAAATTTTAATTACACAATGTCCAAAGTAGAGCCCAGCATTTCTCCAATATTAATTAAAGAAACTACCACAAGCAAATACACCTACACAACCTCCCATTCGTGTGCTCTTTTAAAATTAAAATAAAAGCCATTTATTGGATTTAATAAGTGGCTATAATACTGCCTATCCATAGAATAGTTGTCCTAGAATTTTTTAGCGAAAGATTCGCGACTCAACTTATACAAAGATTTGATGTTATTTTAAGATCCATATAATATACCTTTCGAGGCCCATTTATTATCGGCGGCAAAAGTCTCACAGCCAAGCTCCAAATATGAAAATGAGCAATATAGATAAAAAAGTTACACTTCAAAATGCCAATAATTGTGTGGATGCACTGACTGATACAACAGAAATTCATTACAGCTATGTTATTCTACATTCAATATAACAAAGCTACAAAGAACAGTTACTAGATCTCAAAAAATACAAGAACATCAGCGAAAATTGCATCAGCATAGAATGCCTCTGAGAGAATCTAATAATGGCACAAAAAAACATCAATGTATGTCTGAAAAATACACTTTCAAGCAAATCACTTCTTGAAATATACAAATCACTTCTTGAAAACAAAACAAAATAGCTATATCTGAAAGCTGCAAGCCATGACCTAGATGTTGGAAACAATACTACTGTCCTTAAAACGGCTACACAGATATTCACAATCACTTGCTTTTATGATTTTATTTTAAGAGGGTGCTTTTAACAAAGAGACACAGTTTTTTTAAGTAGAAATTTCTTCAGAAGAGCTAATCTGTTACAAATAGTTCCACCTGTCGAGAGCTGACAGGGACATAACTTAGAGCATGACGCAAACAATCTTCAGCACTTAATGATCAGCAAATGCGCTATAAATCTATAGACAAATGTGTCCATATGAAGCCAACATCCTGGAACATTGGAATGCATGTGTTCCTGGCAAGGCACGTGCTCACAGCTAGAGCGATGTCCTCACATATTAGGATCTCTTATGATTTTTAAGTGTCGTACCATTTTTCATAGCACCTTCATATGGAAGTGTCAAGGTGTCCAAGTTGTTTGCTCAAACTATTCTTTTTAAAATGACAAGACCTGCAGTGGATATATACCACCCATTTTTTGGCCATGGAAGCTAGACAAGAGCGACATGCCATTTAAAATGAGTAAACTAAACAGGCATGAGATTCCAACAATGAGCGAGAACTTTTGCAGCAATTCGTCGACAAAATATTGCGCCATGCTTTGGCAGATTTTTTTTAGCTTGCTATATTCATGCGCTATCCAAGTGTTCATTGAATAGCCCGTGTTTTTCTCTAACTAATGCAATTAACCATATTGCAATGACTTGGGGAACTGCTCCATTTTCCCTTTCATACTCACCCACATACTTATGCTTGTTCGGTGTTATGTGGAACGCTGTACAGAGGTACGTTTCATTCTGCGACAGAGGTAAGAGAAAATAAATTACATAGAACACCCTTTCTCACATATCTAAATGTGAAATACAGCTGCTCGATGAAAAGATAGTGTAACCAGTGGTGTGCCTCGCAAGTGGCGGGAGCCACCTAGCTGAAACTGTTGCTGCTGTTGTGCCTGAAGACATGTTGCACCAAGTTTGTTTAAAGAAGCACTGACACAAAATTCCAAAGGTGAGATAATGAGAGAGGCAGATTTATCGACCCGTGTCTATATATACACACCTATGAAATATCAAGGGCAAATATGCCTAGAACATATTTAAAATAAATTAGCAAGTAATTTTTGCGACTGAGAGAGGCACAGCTCCTCGAAACACCAATGTCAACGCAGTGACAGTGTAAACAAACCTACGTTACGCGTTTGTGTTCGCTGGTTGCTGGGACGCACCTTGTGCTTGCACTACATGCAATTTCTTCCTCAACGCCTGCAGCTTTACGTGTGCTGGCTCACAGCGAGGTGCCCATCTGCACATGCTCTTGTGCGTAGCCACAACGTCACAGTTTTGCATGGTCACCTGGCCAGCTGCATTTACCTTGCTGCCAGACCTGCTTCTGGCTAGCTTGGTGCTCTTTGAAGACGATACTGCAACTGGGTTGTCTCACAATGCCTCTAAATAAATAACCATTGTGCAATCATGGAAACAAGGTTTTCAGCTGTGATAAGTGGGTCATGAGCTACCTATTATAACAACAAAAATAAAACAAGGTGCAAATTTTTTTGCAGCGCTCTTTAAAGAAAACACAAGTTTTCTTGTGTTCCCTTGAGGAGCCTTGAATTCTTGGAAAATGCTATTGGCGACCAGGTCACCAACGTTGCCCTGAATGCATTTTTTCCTTCGGAAACAAGAATGCTTTATTTCATCATTAGAAATTTTAACAGCACTTATTGCCATACAAAAATTTGTGGTATAAATGCTGATGTCAGCATCTCTTTTTGGGGTTGAACAACACAACGCAATGGAGCAGCTCTTCAGCATGCTCATATATGCCGGGACAGCGTCATGCGCGGTTGTATGTGTACTAATACGAAAACAGCAGAAACAGTTAACACAGCGTTCCCCCTTGTGCTCAGTGTTTTATCGCAATGCAACAGGCCACACTTTTTTTTTTATCAAGCGGCCATGTTTGAACACTGGAAAAATGCTTTACACTGGAAAAATGATTTACACACAATTATGAGAAAGAATGTTGGTTGGCCGAGAATTAGTGCGCAAATTCGCCCTTCACATACTCTGACACAAAAAAGCAAGCAGTTACTATTTGGTCTCTCTATCAATAAATACTAAAAAAAGAAGAAAAACGATGGCAGCTTTACCCTAGTGGTGCCAAGTGTGAAGGAAGTGCTGAGCTGGGCAGCCTCCTTTGTTTCTCTTTGCCTCTCCTGCTCTCTTTCTTTTTGTTCTCTCGTTCAGTTACTTCTGTGTTTTTCAATTTCTCTTCTTCTGCATATTCTGTTTCTTTCTTTCTTTCTCCCTTGCCTCCTCTTTCAGTTCTTATATGTGACAAGCGTTGCGTTTCCTTGGCCACATTAGTAATGTCAGCACTTCATATCATCATCAAGGCACTCAAAGAATGAGAGGTAAAAGACTTCTTTTTCGCGCAAGCACGCACTCAATTGTTGGCTATGCTACACATAGTCTCATCAGCGTTAATGTCACTATCAAAGCTTTCAAGGGACAAGAAAAGAAGACGTGTCAAGATCATCATCAAGGTGCTCGAAGCACAAGAGGAAAAGAACACCTTTATTTGAGGTGAGCGCACGCTCGATATGTTACACCTGGCTGTGCTATACGTGTTTTCGCCTGTGTCATGCCAAGCGACGACAACAGCATAATAACCTGGCCTGCAAAAGGGCCCCCCACTTTGAAATTCCTACTGTTAATAATAGAGTGCAGCAAATGCCTGATCAGAAACACGTAGACATGTTTTTTAGAGACATTTCCAGCAGTCGTAGTACATGTATTTGCCATTGCACAGTTATATATATAATCTTTCGTCTAGATGTCACGGCGATTTGATATTTTTCAGTATTGTTCATAGCGAATGGTTTCTGTTGCTATAAATAAAATAACTTCTTGAAATCCATCAGTTCATGACAAACAGAGCGTCTGTGTGTGTCACGTATTTCTATGTCTGTGTGTTTTTGTACAGTAAAAAACTACAGTAAGACATACCAACACACCCAAAATGCCACGTTAATTATACTATGCATCCACATTTCAGCGTAAAAGTAAAGCTGAAAACTGCTCATAACAACAGAAAAGCGTACTTCAGTAGTCCTGAGACAAAATATTTTAATGCACTGTCGCTTACAGCTCTATATTTCCACAAACACATGAAATAATACGATTCCCCAACAGTGACGTTAAGAACCGACAGTTCACTCTAATAGACAGTTTATCATATAAGGCATGCATCTGGCACGTTTACTACATTTAACTTCTTACAAAGCCATCACAGAGCTATCGTAAGTCAGCGCAGTACAGAATTCTCAACGCAAACTGCAGCCCGAGTGCAATGAGAGCTGTACCCTGAAAGTGGCTTATTCTATGAGCATCTTTTAAACAACGTTTAATTCTGAAGCAAATAAAATATAAATACCAAGTGAACACAATCATGATGAATGAAGATACGATTGTCACAAAAAAAGTTGGTCGTTACATTAAAAGACATAAAAGCGAAAGAAACACAATAAAATAAAGAAATAGAGCTAATATGATGCACCTGTCAATGTTGCAAAGAATTCTCTGACATTTTCCCTTTCATCATTATAAATAACGAAAGCAAGATAAAAATGGAATGCAGTCGCGACTGGCATGGCCAGGTGCATTAGTTGGTTTCCTGTTCGTAATCAGTAAGCACTTACAGACATTAGTAGAGCTCTCTAGAAATTTTCGCTATGATGTTTAACTTTATGGTTTGTAACCATCATCAACTTAATTAGCTGAAGCAAACGGCAGTGAATACCGGCACGCAGTTTAGCACGAATGTCTGCAAAGAAACGCCGGTGTTTGTTCCACAATGCAAATGGTAACTGAAGGTACGATGATATTTGTTATGCAAGATTTAGAGAGGTTGAAGCTGAATACCCACCGAAGCAAACTCGTCTAATCCAACTTGTACGTGACCATAAAGTATATTATTATTTAAGGACATGGGGCATAAGAAAAACAACGTTGCAGCGGTTGGAGGAAAGGACCATTGGATGCGATCTTGAACGTTACGCACGTTTCCATATGGTTTTTCCCGGTAAACAGGGCGTTATGAGAAGACATCATTGTTTAATATCCCTGCGACTAGCACAACCGTCGCCTCGAATAGATAGCAGAATGCTGCGGTACGTGGAAAACAAACTTTTCTGTCATACTCGAGCATGCGTGACAGGTGGGGCAACAAACAATCAGGACGCGAGAAACAAAAAATCAGACATGTTACCTGCGTAGGTCGGACGTGAGGCATCAGCAACGGGAACTGGGTTGCCGCCGATGTGCTCGCTGACATATATACGACTGTCACACATAGTGATAGAAAAGAGCAAACAAACACTCTTGCCATTTCCTTAGCGTAACACAAACAGCTGCTGGCGATTCTTCAGGTGTTAACAAGAGCCTCCTACGCGACGGAGAACGAAAGTAGGAAGCACTGAGCGAGGAGGATAAGGAGCGATGATGATGATGATAGCACTGATCCTGATTCTCGTCACAAAATTATATTTAATAATAAAGTAATTTGCTGTTCGTGCATAAAAAAACACTAAATAGTTTATACATTTTTTATGGTTTTTGTAGTACTTTTATACACCCTTGCGTTGAAGACAATTTCCTCTAAGATCTTCAAGTTTTTGTTGCACTTCTCTGAGGCTACGTTTTTGTAAGCTCCAAACGTCAAATGTGAAACGTCGTGTTTTGAACAAAAACTAAAAAAAAAAAACTGAAGGCTACAATAGAACATAATAAATAGTTCAACGCAATGAAAGCATTGAAAGCATTTGCAAAAGTATATTATTAAAAAAAATTTAACCTTAAGTCAACATCTACACTTGCTGGGTAAATTTTTTTAGATCTTTGAGGTCATTGCTTTTCTCTTTATGAGCAGCAAAAGCGAAAACAAGAACAAAAAAAAAAACATCATGCACCGCAATTCTGCGTCATAAACAATACCCAAACAGTAATACGGGTTATATCTCTTGAGTTTTCAATAATGTTTATTTGGCATGCAGCATAGAAAATATACAAAGTCTATGGGAGCAAGAATTTGCGTCACTCCTTCCTCCTCCTAGAGAACGCTGTCGTCGAGGCGCCCGTTTTGAAATCAGCGGCAAATCATCTTTTTTGACAATGTCTTGCCACCAAAAATCGAAATCTCAAGCAAGTTTTTATCTTAAAAAAAGATCGGTAGCATAGAAAAGGTGTTGTCTAACGATTGAAGTTAATGTTGTAGTTTCAGATCTTGCAGTCGCTTCCGCCGCAAGTAACTAGCAAAACAACGGCCTCGAAATTTTTGCAGCAATCTCGGAGGCCTTCTTCGTTGATGTGCATTTTAGATACCATGTAATATTTTTTAGTTATTAAAAAGTGTCTTAAATCAGCTAGAAAAGCTGAAAACAGATGCGAACTCAAGATGAGACTGGAGTTACATTGCTCTATTTGAGCCAGAATAACTTATCTCGAAGGCTATCGATTTTAGCACATGCAGCATGTGCAATAATGACAGATGGAGATAGTGTTAAGAGATTTATTGGCGGACACTCCGCGATGATTCACGACAGCGACAGTCAATGCGGCGACCGACTCTCTGCACGAGCTGCTCTTCTTCTTATGAAAAGGGCGACCCACTAGAAGGCGCTGGAGAGGACGACCCACTGTTCAAAGGAAGGCTTTACCACAACAACCCCGGGTACGAAAAGAAAGCCGCCTGGCGACCTAACAGCTGGTTACAATGAGCGGGTCATGGTAGGCCTTGAGGCGCTCCACGTTAACAATGTCGCGTCCTCGACGGCGCATGTCCGAAGATGGTTCGACGGGTTCAATCAAGTAGTTGACTGGGGAAGTACATTTGACGACACGGTAGGGGCCTTCGTATTTGGGCAATAGTTTTGAAGATAGGCCAGTTGCAGTGGTAGGGATCGAGAGCCAGACGAGCGCTCCAGGGAGGAACGTGGGCGCAGTAGTGCTGGCGTCAGCGCGAATGCTTTTTTGCCGCTCTCGATCATGCGCAGTAAAGGTCTTTGCAAGCTCTCGACACTCTTCAGCAAGCTTGGCTGTAGCAGAAATAGGTGCCCACTCAGACGGATCTGACCTGTGTGGAAGTATCGTGTCGATGGTGTGTGACGGGTGCCTTCCATATAATAAAAAGAAAGGTGAAAAGCCAGTGCGGCTCTGAGGGGCGGTATTATATGCGTAGGTGACGAAGGGTAGAATGTCATCCCAATTTGTGTGTTCGGCGGCGACGTACTTGGAGAGCATGTCGCCGAGCGTACGGTTGAAGCGCTCCGTGAGGCCATTCGTCTGCGGGTGGTAAGCAGCAGTTTTGCGGTGAACAACGTTGCACTCTTTGAGAATGGCTTCGACGACTTCAGACAGGAAGACGCGGCCTCGATCACTGAGCAGTTCCTGAGGTGAACCGTGTCGCAGCATGAATCGTTGGAGCAGGAAGGAGGCCACATCGCTCGCTGTAGCCGCGGGGAGAGCGGCAGTTTCGGCGTATCGCGTGAGGTGGTCCACGGCAACAATGGCCCAGCAGTTACCAGTCGACGTTAGTGGAAGTGGCCCATACAAATCGATGCCAACGCGCCCAAACGACCTGGCAGGGCAAGGTAGAGGGTGCAGACCTACCGGTGACAGGTGCGATGAAGCTTTGCGGCGCTGACATTCTATGAAGGAGCGAACGAATTTCTGCACGTAGCGGTACATGCCGCGCCAAAAGTACCGTTGGCGAATGCAGTGGTAAGTCTTCGATACCCCGGAGTGCGCACATTGCGGATCAGAATGAAAGAATTCGCATATGTCAGAGCGCAGACTGCGGGGTATGACTAGTAGCCACTGGCGGCCGTCACCGTTGTAATTGCGCTTGTGGAGGAGGTCATCGCGAAGGGCGAAATGGTGGGCTTGACGACGCAACGCGCGAGTGGATGGAGTGGATGTATCAGTCTGCAAGTCTATCAGTGAGGCAATCCATTGATCCTTGCGCTGTTCAGTAGCAATGGTATGAATGCTAATCAAAGAAATGGCAAGGTGAGACGCTGAGTTGTTGGCATTGTCGTCAGGCAAGGGAGAGCGCGACAGGGCGTCGGCGTCAGCATGTTGCCTTCCATTGCAATAAAGCACGCGGATGTCATAGTCTTGCAGGCGAAGTGCCCACTGGGCGAGACGGCCTGAGGGATCTTTCATTGACGACAACCAGCATAGTGCGTGGGGGTCGGTGACGACATCAAATGGGCGACCATACAAATAAGGTCGGAACTTTGCAAGAGCCCAGACGATTGCCAAACATTCTTTCTCGGTGACTGTGTAATTAGTTTCGGCTTTAGTAAGCGTACGGCTTGCATACGCCACGACATATTCCAAGAGCCCTGGTTTGCGCTGCGCAAGGACAGCGCCGAGGGCGACACCACTGGCATCCGTGTGTACCTCTGTAGGGGCCGTAGGGTCGTAGTGGCGCAGTATGGGAGACGACGTCAACAAACGACGAAGTGTTGTGAAAGCATCATCGCACTGTGATGACCACGAATGGAGAGGCCCGTTACTTCCGAGAAGCTTCGTCAGCGGCGATATGATAGTCGCGAAGTTTCGAATGAAACGCCGAAAGTTGGAACACAGTTCTACGAAACTGCGCAGTTCCTTGACGGATGTCGGCTTGGGGAACTCGGTCACGGCCCGAAGCTTGGCTGGATCAGGGAGAATTCCGTCCTTAACACGACGTAGCCGAGTATTGTCAGCTGCCGAGCTGCAAATCGGCACTTCTTTAGGTTCAGTTGCAGACTGGCGTCGCTCAGACGCGTTAAAACATGCCGAAGGCGTTGAAGATGCGTCGAGAAGTCCGGAGCAAAAACGACGACGTCATCGAGGTAGCACAGGCACGTGTGCCGTTTCAGGTCACGCAGAACAGTATCCATCATGCGCTCAAAGGTGGCGGGCGCATTGCACAGCCCAAACGGCATGACGTTGAATTCGTACAAGCCGTCGGGGGTGACAAATGCGGTCTTCGGTCGAGCGTCCTCAGCCATAGGTACTTGCCAGTACCTTGAGCGCAAATCAAGGGATGAAAAGAATTCTGCTCCTTGCAGGCTGTCAATCACGTCATCTACCCGCGGTAGTGGCTACACGTCCTTACGAGTGATCTTGTTGAGGCGTCGGTAGTCCACACAGAACCGCACAGAACCGTCCTTCTTCGTGACGAGAACGACAGGAGATGCCCAGGGACTGCTAGAGGAGCGAATAACATCGCGGCGAAGCATGTCGTCGACTTGCTCGTTGATTACACGGCGTTCTGTGGGAGATACGCGATATGGACGTTGCCGCAGCGGTGTCTGTGCGCCTGTGTCGATGCGATGCGTAACGGTGGATGTGCGGCCGAAAGAAGGTTGAGCGACATCGAAAGAAGAGCGGAATTCTTCCAACAGACCCAAAAGCTGGGAACGCTGGCCCGGCGTAAGGTTGTCGGGAATGGAGGGACCGAATACATCATCGGATGATGAAGCAGATGTCGAAACAGCACTAAGCGTACAGGAACTTGAGCAGTGCATGTCAACGGGTTGATCCATAACTTGCGCGTCTTCGATGGGTTCCACGCTGCCGAGACATTCCCCTCGCACCAACGTAACGCTGTACGGAGATGAGTTCACAACAAAAATAGTGGTGCTGCCGTGAGTTGCACGGTCGCGGAAGGAACCAGCAAGCTTTTTCTTATGAAAACACGATGAGATGGCGAAAGGAGTGCAGCGGTGTCGGAAATATTTGCGCAGTAAAGTGACATCGCCACGGACGAGTTTGCAGGCACTTGAGTGTCGTCTCTGACGAGTAACTTGCTTGCAGCAGATGGACTGTCGGCCGGCGTCAAAGAAGAGAATTGCGTTAGTTCTATTTCTGCTGGTGCGCGATTAATGACGGCGTCGTGGCGGGAGAGAAAATCCCATCCTAGGATGACGTCGTGAGAGCATGAAGAAATTATGATGAATTCGACCACATACATCACATCCTGAATCATAAGGCGGGCTGTGCACATCGCTGTAGGGTGAATGCTTTGGGCGCTGGCTGTACGGAGGGAGAGCCCGGAAAATGGCGTGGTCACTTTGCACAGTAATCGGCTAAGTTTTGCGTCCATTACGGATACGGCGGCTCCAGTATCTACAAGGGCAGATGCACGAACGCCATCCACAAGCACGTCTATCACGTTCGACGGGCTTTCCTGAGGGCTTCCGCAGTTCTACAGCGTCGCAGCCCTTGCCCCGTGGACTGCGACGACTAGTTTTCCTGGTCACCCTCGAGTGGACGTGGCCGCATCGGCGACGGTGAGCGACGTCGTGGAGATGGTGAACGGCAGGTAGACGGAACGGGGCGGGACGACGGTGACATAGGCGGCGGTTGGTCATAAGAGCGGCTTGACTGGCTGGGAAAGTTGGAGGCGACCTGCGGTTGCTGCACACGA